CACTTAAAAAATAGTGTAGTTTTGTGAGAGAAAATAAATTTCACATAGAACTTATTTTCAAAAAAAAAAAAGAAAAAATCAAAAATTTAGTCCAATGTGATAACCAAACATTGATTTGAAAATATTTTTTCGAGAAAGGGAAAAAAATTCCAAACATAAAAACTGCGCCATTTTTAGCTTTAAGTTGTTCTCTTGGGAACATACATATCAAGGTTATAATAACCCAGCCGGTCATTTTGAGTATTTTAGTTCCGACCCCCTATTTATTGCCTTTGTTATGTTATATTATGATTATGTGATTCGCCGGGATATTTGATTTTGGTTTCGGGTGAGTTATTTTCGGAATGAAATGGGACACATAGTCTCTAAGTCGGAGGCTTAAGTTGAAAGAGTTGACGTTGTTTGACTTTTTTGTAAACGACTTTAGAATTGAGTTTTGACTGTTTCAATAGCACCGTATGGTAATTTTGGATTTAGGAGCATGTCCGGATGTTGATTTGGAGGTCCGTAGGTCATTTCAGTTTGAATTGGCGAAAGTACGAAAGTTGAAGGTTTGGAAGGTTGAGAAGGTTGACCGGGAGTTGGCATTATTGATATTGGGGTCGGATTTCGATTCCAGAAGTTAGAGTAGGTCTGTCATGTCATTCATGACTTGTGTGCAAAATTTGAGTTCAATCGGAGTTGATTTGGTATGATTCGGCGTTAGGTTTGAAAATCGAAAGTTCATAATTTCAATAGGCTTGAATTGGGTTGCGATTCATTGAATCAATATTGTTTTATGTGATTTTTGGCCTCGAGTAGGTCCGTTATGTGTTTTGGAACTTATTGTTATATTTGGATGGGGTCCCCTGAGCCCTGGTATGATTCGGATTGAATCCGGAATAAGTTTGGACTTGTGTGATTTTTGAAGATTGTTGTGACTGGTGCAATCGCACGTGCATTTTGGGTCGCAGGAGCGGCCTTTGTGTCACAGAAGAGGAATTTGCCATGCCCAGCTGGGACCGCAGGTGCGGTCCATGTTCCGCAGAAGCGGGGACTCGCTGGTGCAGAGAGAAGCATCACATGAGCGGATTTGAGTATGCAGGGGAAAGACCGCAGGTGCGGTCGAAGCTCCGCAGATGCGGGCTCGCAGAAGCGAGCTAGTGATCACAGAAGCGTGGGCGCAGGTGCGCTTGCGTTGTCTACAGAAGCGGTATCTCAGGACCTTAGTGAGAACCGCACCTGCTAAGGAAATTCCGCAGATGCGGCTGTGTGTTCGCATATGCGAATTGACTGGGCAGAAAAGAGCTAAGTTCGAGGGTTTGATTTCATTATTCATTTTTGGACCTAGAGAGCTCGGTTTGTGGTGATTTTCGAGAGTGTTTTAAGAAATTTATCGGGATAAGAGATTCTAACTCGATTTTGGTTATATTATAGGATTTCATTGTTATTTTCATTATTTTATTAGCGATTGAGTTGGAAATTTGGGAAAAAATTGTGAAAACTTCTTAGACTAAATTTTGGGGATTTGAAAGGCGATTTGAAGTCGGATTTGAGTAATTCTTGTATGGCTGGACTTGTTATTGAATGGGTGTTCGGATTTTATAATTTTGGTTAGGTTTCGAGGTGCGGGCCCGAGATTGACTTTTTGAGTTGACTTTTTATTTCTCTTTAAAGCTCGCAACTTTATTATTCGGAATAGCTTCCTATAGATTATATTTATGGTATGAAGCATTTTTGGCTAGATTCGAGCTGTTCTAAGTTGGATAATCGAGGAAAAATCTTACTAGTGGATTGAGTTAGCGTGTTTTGAGGTAAGTATCTTGCCTAACCTTGTGTGGGGGAATTACCCCTTAGGATTGGTATTGTTTTGTGTTAATTGTGGTATGTGGAAGCCGTGTACGCGAGGTGACGAGTGCGTACACAGGCTAAATGTGGCTATTTACCGGTTCTAGCTATGTAGCTTCTCTTCATGCCTTTAATTGAGTTACCATAATATGTTATATTCATCATCTTTAGTCTATCTTCACATGCTTTACTTGTCTTACCATAATTCTTTCCTCTATTCCCCATTCATTATTTAACCGTTGTGGTGTACTCATGCTACGTTTCTTGTGCATATCCAGGTACCTCCTACCGGTCCAGGCACCAATGAGACGAGCTCAGCTTCGGAGACTTCAAGGTATACTTATCGGCGTCCGTAGGCCTCGGAGTCACCCTCTATCTAGTCTATTTTATTTTCTTTCCCTTTTATTAGATACTTAACTGTTTGTAGAGCTTGTGACTTGTTATCACAAGATTTTGGGAAGTTTGTTGTACTGAGTGGCGAAGTTTCTTTTCTGATTATTGTTGGGTAATTGAGAGTTTATTTATTATTTCAGTCATATTTCGCACGTATGTTAGGCTTACTTAATATTAGAGATTATGTGTCATCACGACATCCTATGGAGGGAAAATGGGGTCGTGACAAGTGTATATCTCCATTGAGTCATTAACCAATTGTTAAAGAGCAAAATATTTCTCGAGTTTTTTCCATTTTTATGATATTCATTCTATCTTGTTCCATTTCAAAATAATTGTTATAATTGATAAAAACTAATCAAGCAGATAACTATTTCCAAACATTATTTTTCAAAATGTTTTTCCAAACAAAAGTTTTTGCAAAATATAGAGGCACACAGTTTTCGGAGCATGACAAGGTGACGTAGATGAATTCGATCAATGTAATAATGTTTGGCACGATTTATATGATCAAATTGTTATATTTGGATAAATATTTAATTACGTACGTGCCTGGCATAGACTTCTAACAATTTATTGGTTACAGTTTACTTGTTTGAAATGTTCAAGTCAAAATCCATATAAAAATGATTATCACCTAAATCATATGGTAATTGATTAACTAGTCTACTAATCAATTATTGGAGTTATAAACCTCACCAACTAGGCTACAGATAGCAAGTTTATTTAAGTAACTAATTAGTTGGTTGATTCTTTTGTTTGAAAATATAATTAGGTAAATTAAAACCATTACTAAACTATCATATCAGGAATCCAACGCCAAATCACTAAAATGTCAATTACTATATACTAAGTAACTGATTATAGTACAGTACTTGGACTACGTCAAAAGAATAAGAAATTGTAAATTTACAATGTCATCTACTCATCTGTTCATGGTAATATTAAAAAGGGATTAAATTATTTGTTTCAGATCAGTTCTTCAAAATTTGACCTTTTGGCTCATATTTTTTTTTTAATAATCTCAAATTTGTTTTTATCGGATTGGGTAAATCTTACCAAAAATGACGTGACCTCCACCTGCTGATTTGAAAGAGGATTAACTTAATTCAAGTAATCCAATTATTAATGCAACTAAAGGGTCATTTTGATGTCATATGACCTCGTCCTATATCTCGTCTCGTACTATAAGCAAACCGTTATGATAGAGAGCCTTTCCCTTTAAATAGTCGAATTAATAAATTTCAAAGATTGATACTTAAATTAAAAGAAAGAAAATCCTACTATACCCTCTTAATTACCCATTAATGATTTTATAATATGTACATAATTAACAAATTTAATTATGTACGACCATGCGTCTCTCTCTTGTTTGTCAAACGCACATCCAAAGACAAAGAGATGGAGAATTTGGACACCTTCTCTGTACTCTCGCATTTGGCCAAGAAATGTCTTTCTAACTAGGCGTTTGGAAATAAGAATTTTAAAATTCCGAAAAAAGTAATAAAAAAATTTAACTGAAAACGATATTTAAAAATTAGAATTGTATTTGGATATGGATACTATTTGGAGCTGCTTTTGAATTTTTTTTGAGTGATTTAAAGAAAAAATTTTGAAAAATAACTTTTTAAAATTTTTAATTTTTTTTTAAAATTCAATTTCAAATAAAATTTGAAATATTTATGGATAAACACTTATTACAAAAGAAAAAATTGAACATATTTCGAGAGAAACTGAAAAATTTCTTATGGCCCTTCTAAATTCTTAGAACAAAAGCTGCATACACATCTTGTGCTAAGTGGAGAAACTCCAACAACACGTGCAGAAAATATTGTCTACATTTTAGGTAATACTATGGCACTTTCTTTAAGAAGAATAAACTTAAATAATAGTTTATTTAACTATTTAAATAAAAATAGCTGATATATATATATATATATATATATATATATATATATATATTCGTGTATAATTTAGTATACGAACTAAAATAAGTAAACAGTAAATTCAGTCGTTTATTTATATAAAGATCTCATTTTTATCCATTTTAAAAAGATTAAATATTTTTATATTTTATAATAATTTTTTATATTTAATATTCCTATTTTAATGACACTCTGCTAGAGATGATATGTCGTGTTCATGATTACAAATTTTAAGAATAATGGAGTAGTTAAATACATTCCTATAAAATGGAGTAGTTAAATATTGAATACGATATAAAGATCCCATTTTATCCGTTTAAATTTTATTGAGTATTTTTATATGTAATAACTCTTTAAATTTGATTTTCCCATCTTAGTGACACTCTTGTATAAATAACATGTTGTGTCCATGATAACAAAATTTTAAGAAAAATAGTCAAATATCGTATACAGTTAAATCTCTCTATAACAACAATCCTATACAATAATCATTCAATATAAAAGTCGAGTTATTTTCGGAATTGAATATATATTATGTTATAATATATGTCCTCTACTTTTCTATAACAGCACTTCACTGTAGCAATCAAAAAATTTCGGAACAAATGAAGAGTTGTAAAGTAATACCCAAAAGCTTACACAATTTTAAGTAATGAATCTTGGCTTAAAAATCAAATTAATTAATACTATTGAATTATTGGTCTATGCTTCGAGTAAGTTCTTCACGAGCTCACCAAACCCCATCATCTCTCTTTTTCTCCACCTAACCCCATCTACCATTTCAACTCACCGTTAAACTTAACGCCGTTATCTCTCCACCTAACTCCCTTTTATTTCTTTTCGCTCTATAAATCCTACACACTTCACACTCTCTCCTCAACCGTACCAAAAACACCTTTTTCTCCCCAAAAAAGAGCTCATTTCCCTTGTCCCCAAAAATGGATCTTCTCTTACTAGAGAAGACCTTAATTGGTCTCTTCTTTGCCATTTTAATCGCTATAATTGTCTCTAGACTTCGTTCAAAGCGTTTTAAGCTTCCCCCAGGACCAATCCCAGTACCAGTTTTTGGTAATTGGCTTCAAGTTGGTGATGATTTAAACCACAGAAATCTTACTGATTTTGCCAAAAAATTTGGTGATCTTTTCTTGTTAAGAATGGGCCAGCGTAATTTAGTTGTTGTGTCATCTCCTGAATTAGCTAAAGAAGTTTTACACACACAAGGTGTTGAATTTGGTTCAAGAACAAGAAATGTTGTATTTGATATTTTTACTGGAAAAGGTCAAGATATGGTTTTTACTGTATATGGTGAACACTGGAGAAAAATGAGGAGAATTATGACTGTACCATTTTTTACTAATAAAGTTGTGCAGCAATATAGAGGGGGGTGGGAGTTTGAAGTGGCAAGTGTAATTGAGGATGTGAAGAAAAATCCTGAATCTGCTACTAATGGGATTGTATTAAGGAGGAGATTACAATTGATGATGTATAATAATATGTTTAGGATTATGTTTGATAGGAGATTTGAGAGTGAAGATGATCCTTTGTTTGTTAAGCTTAAGGCTTTGAATGGTGAAAGGAGTAGATTGGCTCAGAGTTTTGAGTATAATTATGGTGATTTTATTCCCATTTTGAGGCCTTTTTTGAGAGGTTATTTGAAGATCTGTAAAGAAGTTAAGGAGAAGAGGCTGCAGCTTTTCAAAGATTACTTTGTTGATGAAAGAAAGTAAGTTCACTTTTTCTCCTTTTTGCTTAATTTGTCAATTTTCCTCAGTTTTACAGTCTAAGTTCTAATCTTTATGCATTCTCCTTAGAATAAATAGCTGCACATCTAATTTTTAGAATTAAAAATAGCTGGCGAATACATAGTATTTGTATAATTCATGTATAATATGTGTATAACTGTGTATATTTAATGTATAATCTATGTATAACTACTGGAAAAAATAAACAAAGAATCTGGCCGTTTATTTGTGTGACAGTCCCTTTATCATTTGGTTTTACACATGATAAAAAAGGTCTGTTTGCTGGTAAAAATCTTTGGGATTTTGGGAATCACACAATTCCATTCTTGATTGTAGTGAAAATTCTTAATTGCTTTGAGTTCTGCTACAGTTGGGTTTCCAGAATATTACTGCCTCTGATTTGTTTTATTGTCCCTTAAAGTTTTGGATCGAAAATCATTCAATAGCATTAACTAAGAAGGGTATTTGACTTAATCTGGCACAAGGATGAATTTGGGAAAAATAATTAATGTCTTCTGATTTTCTAAATCTAATAAGTAGGTTATTTGGACCAAATTTGTTTGGTTAAATCAACAATAAAAAGGATTGGAGGGAGTAGTTCCTCTAGTCTAACTATTTTATTTGTTTTGGCGAACTGAATTGCTTCAAATATTTGATGTTTTATAAAATATAAGAATTACTTTTTTTTTTAACCATCTTCTCTCCTTGTTTTAATTGGTGAAGTGTTATTTTAAAGAAAAATAAAGAGTAGTTTAGCCAAATAAATTTATGAATAAGATTATTAAATGTTTTTTTTAAAAGGTATGCTAAATCTTTGAGTAAGGATGAATTTGGAAAAAATAATTAATGTCTGCTGGCTTTCCTAAAGCTGACAAGTTTTTTGAACCAAATTTGTTTGATTAAAACCACAAATAAAAAGGTTTAGAGGAAGTTCTTCCTCTGGTCTAAATATGCGTAGTTTTGGCAAACTAAATTTGTTTCAAATATTTGGCGTTTTAGGAGAATGAAATTCATTTATTACTTTTTTTTTCAGATCTATCAATTAGCGGGAGTAATAACTATAGTGAGATTTTTAAAGAGAGATAAACGGTAGATAAATGAAATATTCTTATGATCAAGGCAATTAAACGTCACCTTAAAGGGCCTGCAAAGCTATGAAAGACAAATTATATAGAAGTAAGGTAGTAATTAGTGTATTTAGTTTCCCTTTACCATATGGTAAGAGTCTGAATTTCTCAACCAAGAGGTTGTGAGTTTAATTTCCCTTTACACTAGTTTAATTAGTGTATTTAATTTCCCTTTACCATATGACTAGAGTGGGTTGCTCTAGTGGTAAGCACCCTCCACTTCCAACCAAGAGGTTGCGAGTTCGAGTCACCCCAAGAGCAAGGTGGGGGAGTTCTTTGAGGGAGGAAGCCGAGAATCTATCGGAAACAGCCTCTCTACCCTAGGGTAGGGGTAAGGTATGCGTAAACATTACTCTCCCCAGACCCCACTAGTGTGATTATACTGGGTTCTTGTTGTTGTTGTTGTTGTGTGGTTGAGTACTAATTGAAGTGCTCAGAGCTACTATTAGGTAGCTTTTGATTGTGGTTGAGCACTCATTGAAATGGACCTTGAGTTTAGCTTTTGTAACATTTTTATTGCTTACTCAGGAAGCTTTCAAATACCAAGAGCTTGGACAGCAATGCTCTGAAATGTGCGATTGATCACATTCTTGAGGCTCAACAGAAGGGGGAGATCAATGAGGACAACGTTCTTTACATTGTTGAAAACATCAATGTTGCTGGTACGTTTCAAAAAAACCAATTTAAATTCACGGAATATAATTTTTTCTAGTTTGGTTAGTATCATTTGTAGTATGTGCATCTCCTAGTTAAAAGGTGGAAAAGAACTTTTAAGAGTACCTGGTTTATATGCTTGTGAGTTCATTCCGAATAACAGCATTTTTAATTGGATGTCACGTGATCTTTAACGATCCTCTAGTCATAATAAGTGTAATTTATAAGTGAATGTATTTCCCTGTTCTAATACTCTGTTTTTTTCTCAAAAGTGGGACTTGAGAACTTCCAAATCGGGTCTCAAGAACATTTGTTTTTTTAACCAAAATGGGCTTTCTAATGATTTATAGTTTGATATCACATGCGATGGACCGGTTGGTGGTACCACCTACCAATATCTTCATGAGTTTTGGGTAGAGCAGTATCCGTGAGTGCACATTGTAAAGCACCTAACTTTCCATTAGTAATGGCTTAAACCAACTCATGCTAATTATGATCATGATAAAGGAGTAATGTAGAAAAAGATCCATATTATCATTGTTTTGTCCCAAATAAGCAATTATGGTGACATCCAAGTAGAATAGCTAGTTGCTCACATTAACAACAGCAAAATATCCAGTGTATTCTGGGTCTCGGCAAGGCAGGGTAGTGTGTACGCAGACCTTACCCCTACCTTTAAAAAGGCAGAGAGTCTGTTTTCGATAGACCCTCGGTTCAATGTAGTTTCGTTGCATCGCCTTTTTGGTGAGTTAAACTTTAATAGTCTCTTATCCTACCTTTGTTTTGGAGTTTATGCTTGCTTCATAGGCTTCTTGACAATTTGATGATTAAGCTAATATGCTTACCTATTGCTATGAGCAGCTATAGAAACCACATTATGGTCAATTGAGTGGGGTATCGCCGAGTTAGTCAACCACCCTCACATCCAAAAGAAACTCCGCGACGAGATTGACACAGTTCTTGGCCCAGGAGTGCAAGTGACTGAACCAGACACCCACAAGCTTCCATACCTTCAGGCTGTGATCAAGGAGACGCTTCGTCTCCGTATGGCAATTCCTCTATTAGTCCCACACATGAACCTTCACGATGCAAAGCTTGGCGGGTTTGATATTCCAGCAGAGAGCAAAATCTTGGTTAACGCTTGGTGGCTAGCTAACAACCCGGCTCATTGGAAGAAACCCGAAGAGTTCAGACCCGAGAGGTTCTTCGAAGAGGAGAAGCACGTTGAGGCCAATGGCAATGACTTCAGATATCTTCCGTTTGGCGTTGGTAGGAGGAGTTGCCCTGGAATTATACTTGCATTGCCAATTCTTGGCATTACTTTGGGACGTTTGGTTCAGAACTTTGAGCTGTTGCCTCCTCCAGGCCAGTCGAAGCTCGACACCACAGAGAAAGGTGGACAGTTCAGTCTCCATATTTTGAAGCATTCCACCATTGTGTTGAAACCAAGGTCTTGCTGAACTTTCTGATCCTAATCAATTAAGGGGTTGAAGAAATTTTATAATTATGATTGTATTTGATTAAAAACGTTGAAGTTTGACAGAAAACATTCTTCTTTTTATGTTATAGAAAGTCTTGTTGGACTAGTTTCATTGTAAGATCGACCTATCTGAAATGTCTTTTTTTGATGCACAATGGTAATTTGGCTTTCTAATCAACCGAAGAGTTTGACTTTTGATCCTAGTATATCAAAATGAAAATCGTAATAACCAAAATGAACTCGGATTTTCCCATGCGAACATGAGATTATTTTTATTTTTTTTAAATATTCTTTTTACAAATTTCTGCTTCCGTGACACCACATGATAGAAGCCTCAAATTGAGGAAAGTGTAGGGAGGAGGGGGGCACATATTAGTATATCCGATTTGTGTCTTATTTCTTCTTGTATTGTATTTAAACGACATGATAAATATTTAACCTGGTTAGGTACATTTTTGTGGTTTTTTTTTTTCAGGGTGTTAATGGATATTTAAAAATCGACTAAATCGACCGTACCGAGCCGAATCGATTTTTAGGTGTCTTTTAATAAAACCGTAGGTTTTTATATAAATCTACAACCGTACCGATAATTATGGTAGATTTTTTATTTTATGAAAATAAACCTAGAAAATACCGAACCGTATCGAATAAATTTACATGTGAAAAATATATATGTTAAGTTTAAAAATAATAATTAAATTTTTCCTTGGGCGTAGGAATTATGAAAATTGTTACAAGCCAACAAGTGATTAAAATCAAAATCCTAATTCTCAAACCTAATATGCTACTCCTACCAAAACTAAATTATTTATAACATATTCACTAGTAAGACACAAAGTATTCTAGCGGTTATGAGTAGCAAACTATAATGTATTGAATATGTTACTTTTCGTATAATTTAGATTTATCTTTTTGAATATTTAATCTTCTATAAACTTTATTCATGAGTCCCAACTTGATTAATATTTTTCTACTCGTATGATTTATCTTTTCTTTGTCTTTGTTTAGTTTCTTTTACATTGCTGTATAGTAGTTGATGGATCTATACTCTCGGCATCTTTCATGTTTTCTTAGTTCATCACCATTTAAACAGTAAAATTGTTTAGAGAGTTTTGCTAAGTCCTATAAAAGTATGTGTGTTATGACATTCTACTTTTACTAGTGACTTTTACATGATATTTAAAAAATACCGAAAATTAACCGAACCGTACCGATACCAAATAGAAATCAACATGATTGAGACGGTTTCGAAAAGTCTAATCTTGATTATACATAATAGAATAACCGAAACATTGGTATGGTACAAATTTTATAAAATAACCGACCGAACCGAACCCCTAATTTTTTCTATCGTGAAAAAGGAGCACTTTATTAATCAACCCCTGTCCCGCTCAACTTTACTCAATTATTAATTTTATTTCTTGTTTTTTCCCGCTAAAGTAGAATTTATTAGCTAAAAAAAGTTGAAGAACGACAATTATGTCTCAAAATCTCCTACCACCATTGGGCTTGTAAGAATTACGGTTGGGATTTGGTTGCCCAAACAAATGAGACTATTATCCGCTTAGGTCCAACGAGACTCACGGATTTGTTTCTTGGGCTATAACATCATCAAATTCAAAATAAATTCTTTATTTTACTCTCATTCCGAGATGAGATTGACTTAAGGTGTCATTTACTTTTGATAGTTTGAACCTTGTCATTTCATTTTGGTTGCCATTTACCTTGGGTGTCTCATTAACGCCTTATCTTTTTGTAAAACAATCTGACCCCTCTACCTCCAAAAAAAAAAATGGTGACCACGGACTGAACTGCATAGTTTGCGAGGGTTCAATTGAATTTTCTTCCACAAAAAAGATAAAACAGGTTTATGTGTATAACTTGATTATGGGTGTCAAAACTAAACTAGGAAAATACATACCGTCCAAACTTGGCCGGGTTGGACACACATATTCTCATGGGGGTCGATTTGGGCACATCTCAAATCTGACCATCTAAAAATTAAGCTGATTTAGGCTACATAAGTCGCCCAAATTGATAAATTTGTTTGATATGTTAGAGCTGGAGGGTTTGGGGTATGACTTATTTAACTCATTTTAACTCAATTTCAATCTTAGGTCAAGTAACGTTTGGACGGATCAATAACTCATTGTTTGAATCATTACATCTGTTCTAGTTCAGTCCAATCCCACCATTTGACACCCCTAAATCTTGACCGCGAGCTGAAAGTTAATTCGTTGCATGTTACACCCGACAAATGATGCAGCATCGTAGAATGTTTGCATTCGGATTTAGATAACATTAGCTGTGTCCAAAATAGTGACAGAGTCACATGTTGAGGAACCAGATCGAGTGTCAACAATTATTGATATCGAGATTTACAATATTTTGCCCACCGATGAGTCCCTACTTCCCAGCCCTTTTTGTCCCCTGAAATATAATATATCACCAAAACTATATATATCATTATCCCATCTCTTCTATAATTCTATAAATAGTATTTTACTATAGTCGGTTTCTCTATCACCTTTCATTTCCTTCTCATTTCGGCTCCTGTTAATTTTCTGTATTCCAAAATTTCCCAGTTTTCTAAGGTTAGCTTGTGTACATATAGACAATAGCTTAACTTGTAGTTTTTCTTCATTCTGATCTAGATCTCTCTACCATTTCCCATGTATAACTCCAACTTTGTACGTTTTCGTCCACTTCAAGTTTATATTTAGCTGTCTGTGAATAAGTTAGCTCATCAAAAAAGCCTTTTCTATAATGAATACTAATACCTATTTTCCATCAGTTGATCATAGATCATCAGATGGACTCGAACTTTGTCATCGTTTCGCTATGACCAGTACTAATCTTGGCAATGAATTTAGCAGTGCTGATCATCATGATGTTGTGTTCTTTTCATCGAGTTGCGGAACATCATCAAATAATGATAACGTTGTTGTTGAGGGTGGTGGTGGTTGTGATCAAACAGTAGTCGAAAGCGACTACTTTGATGGAGTGTTTAAGTATATACAACAGATGCTTTTGGAAGAAGATGATGATTTAGAAAGTAGACCTTGCATGTTTCAAGATTGCGTTGCTCTTCAGGCTGCTGAGAAATCTTTTTATGATGCCCTCACTGACAACAACAACAACGATCCAACAATCGTCGAACACTGTTCTAGTACTGATTTTCCAGTTAATCATGCTTTTATTAGTACTACTCATTGTCTGCTAGACGACAACTTCAATCACTTTCTTGATCAGCCCAACTTGATTTCTGATTTCAATGCTTCAAATACTGGAATACGTGGAAACACTCCTTTGAACAATAATTGTCAAGCTGCTGCTGCTGCTAATGGTGATCATAGGAATATCTATTATGGTGTAAACTCCCCAAATACTAACAATCAAGGGGGGACATCAAAGTCAGAGGGGAAAAAGAAGCACAATCGAGAGGAATGTGGCGAATCATCAAACGGGCCAAATAGCAAGCAGTTTGCGAGTAATGGTACAGAGGAAACAGAAGAGCAAACTCATGAGGAGTACTACGATAAGGCACTTCTTTGTCCAGATATGAATCCTGCATTTTATGTTGAGGATTCGTGTGACGACGGATCAAGATCATCATCAGAAAATGTAGCATGGGACAAGCAAAAAAGCCGTCATATAAAGCAGTCTAAAAGAGGAAGGCCACGTGGAAGCAAAAAAGGTGTAAAGACTAATGAAGTAGTAGATCTTACCAGTCTCCTAACACGATGCGCGGAAGCAGTAGCTAGCTATAACAGCAAGACTTTTGTGGAAGTTCTCAGCAAAATCAGGCAACACTCTTCTCCCTTAGGCGATCCTACTGCTAGATTGGCCTATTGCTTTGCCAATGCCCTCGAAGCTCGGTTTGCTGGTGGTGGTGGAGACACAATTACTACTCCTAAGAAATCAATATTATCAGCTGCAGATTTCTTAAAAGCATTTCAGGTATACATCACAGCTTGTCCATTCAAGAGAATGTCAAACATATTTGCTAACAAGTCTATCGCAAAATTAACCAATGAAGCTCCAAAGATTCACATAATAGATTTTGGGATACTATATGGATTTCAATGGCCTTGTATAATACATGGAATTTCCCTTAGGCCAGGTGGACCTCCAAAGCTTAAGATTACAGGAATTGATTTCCCTCAACCAGGTTTTCGACCAGCTGAGAGAGTCGAGGAGACAGGACGTCGATTGGAGAATTATTGCAAGAGATTTGGTGTTCCATTTGAATATAAAGCAATAGCAAAGAAATGGGATGATATTAAACTAGAAGATCTGATTATTGAACAAGATGAAACTGTGGTTGTCAATTGTTTGTACAGGCTAAAGAATGTACCCGATGAAACAGTATTATCACATGGCAGCAACAGTCCGAGAAATGCTGTTCTAAAATTGATCAAGGAAATAAATCCACACTGGTTCGTTCATGGGATCGTGAACGCTATGTACAATGCCTCTTTCTTCACTACAAGATTTCGAGAAGCTTTATTTCATTTCTCGTCTCAGTTTGACATGTTCGAAGCTACAATGACACGAGAAGATGAAGGGAGGATGATATTCGAGCAAGAAGTATTCGGAAGAGATATAAGGAACGTTATAGCTTGTGAAGGGACGGAGAGAGTTGAGAGGCCGGAGAGTTACAAGCAATGGTCAGTGAGGAATCAGATAGCGGGGTTCAGGCAACTTCCGTTGAATCAAGACATTGTCAAGGAAGTTAAGGCCAAGGTGAGAATGTTTTATCACAGGGATTTTCTAGTGGATGAAGATAGTAACTGGATGTTGCAAGGTTGGAAAGGAAGAATCATGTATGCACTATCTGTTTGGCAGCCTATACATAAATAAATGCCTCGCGCTATGCGCGGGGTCTGTGGGGAAGGGCTATGCATAAATAAAGCTGTTAATTTACTGCAGTTTATGATATATACTATGTAGCTAAATTTAAGAGTAACAGGCAAATCTTGGAATCATCAATCTTGTATGAACATGAATGAGTGANTTGGATGTTGCAGGGTTGGAAAGGAAGAATAATGTATGCACTCTCTGTTTGGCAGCCTATACATAAATAAAAGTGCGCACTAATCTCCCGCTATGCGCGGGGTCCGGAAAAGGAATATACATAAATAAAGCTGTTAATTTACAGCTTGTTTGAATGGTTGTTACTCATCGTTTTATAAT